TATGTATATATATATATACATATATATGTGTATATATATATATACATACATATACATATATGTATAATCTCTTGATATGCTTTTTTTGCTTAAAACCCTTCAATAGTTGTAGTAGTGTTTAGCCTGTTTTACATCATGATCTAATTTGAAAATCTAATGAAAGAAATGGAATGATTTTTCTCTCCAGAAAAAAAATGCACATGCACATAGAATTTGCATTTAGGGGGTTCATTCATGAATATGGTTAAAATAATTCCTTGCTTATAGGATAAAACCTAAACTTCCTCACATCCCATAGCATAAAAAGCATACCAAATGCTGACTGCTGCTTACTCCTGCTAAACCTCATCCCCCTTGTATCTTATGATTTAGCCATGTTAAATTCCATAGTTTTTATGTTCAATGCTGTTTCAAAACATTCCTGTGCTTTTTTTCTGGTCATCTTCACATCTGAATTCCTTCATTCCATCCCCCTAAACTGGTTCAGTTAGTGAATATCTACTCATGTTCCAAGATTGGTTCGTATTTTACTTTCTAAAGCCTTTCCTGGTTTCTACTTTTTCCCTGTCCCAGAGAGACTCTTTTGGGTTGCCCTTCCCTACTCTGGATACTGACTTGTATCATAGAATGTTATTGTTATTGGTATTTTTTGTTTTCTTTTACTTGGTCAAAAACTCCAGAGGGCAGATGATTTATCTTAATGCCTGGAGAGTACCTTGTATCTTAAGAAATAAGTGTGTGTTGAATGAACACAAAAAATTATCAGAAGATACTGTCTTCTGTTTCAGGAGGTATAATTACTAGGTTGATATGTGGACTTTTTAGAATTTGAAGATTTTTCTAAACTAAATTAATAATCTTCACATGAAAGTAGTGTATTAAAATTGTTGAGAAACTGCCTTAGAAGTTTTAAGAAAATTAGGTTCCAGTCTTGGCCCGTGTTCCAGTTACATCTTGGTTGCCAACAACACAAAGTGATTTTAGCTTATTTAAGCAGAAAAGGAACTTATGAAAAGGGCATTGGATAGCTCACAGAATGGACGGGAAAGCAGGAAGGAACCAAGGGAGACTCGGCTGCACATTCAGCCAGGGTCAGGCCAAGGAATAGAAGAGATAGGACATTGCTATTGGATCTGCACCACTGCCTCTGCTGACCTAGGACCACAAGCTTATCCATGAATTATCATTACGTGTCTTTCCAGATTCTAGATCCTAGTGTGAGTCTCTGACTTGGCTGACGCTGCATGCCACAGAACAGAACAGGAGAGAAAAAGTCTAGTTGTTTTAGTTTTTGTAGTGGGGTTGGGAGATTTGTTTCCAACCAAGATTGACACAATGTTGGATACATAGGAAATTGGGTTCAGATGGCAGGCAGGAGCTAAACAACAACAACAACAACAACAACAACAACAAAAACTGAAGTACAGCACTGCTGCTAGTTAATCCCTGGCTGATAGGCCTCAGAAAACTTATTTTATCTCTATGGGTATCCCTTTTCATATTTTTAATTTTGAAATTCTGTCTTCTCACCATTAAATGGTAACAGTGTAAAAGTATGAAATATTTGGTAAAACACCGGGTAAGAACATAGTGGTTGTGGCTTTTATTTCGGTGAAGTAAAATGTAACACTTTTTCCCTTTCTTTGGAGTATGTATTCGTAATTTTGAAATACCTTTTTGAAGTTCGTAAACTTCTAAAGTTGAGCAGGGTAGTCCAAGGCCTGTTGTTTGAATTATTGTATGTTTTGGTGTAATTTGGTAGCATTGTTCCCTGAAGATGGGAAACAATAGGGATTTTTAAATGTTGAACTAAGATTTCTTTTGACAGCCTAAGTGAATACTGATAATAGCAACCATAAATGCATTTTTTAAAGCTTATTTATTTTTGAGAGAGAGCACGAGCAAAGTGGGGGAGGGGCAGAGAGAAAGAGAATCCCAAGCAGGCTCTGTCCTGTAAGCACAGTTTCATCCTGTGAACCATGAGATCAGTACCTGAGCCAAAATCTAGTCGGACGCTTAACTGACTGAGCCACCCAGGCACTCTCATTTTTTAAAGACCGTATTTAACCATTGAAAGCATGTTTTTATGCTATGTTTCCTTTTTATCTCTTTATATAGTCACTGTTTTATTTTGTGTATCTCAAATCCTGTATGTATTTTTTCATTGTTTGTCAGTCTTGTACATTTCTCTTAGTTTGTTTATAGATCTTAAATTTTGTCAACGTTGCTTGTCTCTTTTTTTTTTTTATATTTATTTATTTATTTTGAGAGAGTGTGTGAGCAGGGGAGGGGCAGAGAAAGAGGGAGAGAGAATCCAAGCAGGTTCTCTCTCATCATGCAGGATACCAATGTGTTTTTTTTTTTTTTTTTTTTTTTTTTTTTTAAATTTTTTTTTTCACTGCTCATTTATTTTTGGGACAGAGAGAGACAGGGAGCATGAACGGAGGGGCAGAGAGAGAGGGAGAACAGAATCGGGAACACAGGTCTGTGTGCCCGGCTGAGCCATCGCCCAGAGCCCGACGCGCGCTCTGAACTCACTGATCACGCGAGATCGTGACCTGGCTGAAGTCGGACGCTTAACCGACTGCGCCACCCAGGCGCCCCTGGGCTTGATCCCAGAAACTGTGCATGGAGTCGAGCAAATCAAGAGTCAGACACTTAACCGACTGAGCCACCCAGGCTCACCCCCTGCCTGCCTCTGTCTTATATTGTTAGTTATCTGGACCTCTTTTTCTTTCCTTCCTTTTTTTTTTTTAAGATTTTATTTATTTATTTATTTATTTTTCTTAGATTTTATTTAAATGAAATATTTTATTTTATTCTAAGTCATCTCTACACCCAACATGAGGCTCGAACGCACAACCTTGAGATCAAGAGTCGCATGCTCTGCCAACTGAGCCAACCAGGCACTCCTGAACCTCTTTTTCTTTTACTGAATATTTCTTGTGATCTTAAAGCAGTTAGTATTGTTTAAGTAGAAAACAAAGTTATTTGCAAACTTCTTATTATAATTTTTTATTTGAAACAACTGTTACGGTACATGGTAGGTACAACAGCTACTAAGTCTGTGTGAAGAGGTAAAAGCTGTAGTTATATTAATTAGGGTACATGTTAATGAAGAGATTTCAGAACGAAATGCCTTAAATAATAGTCCAGAGGTGGTTGGTTCAGGCCGGCAGGGCGGTTCTGCTACACATGGTCACTCAAGAGCCCAGTTCCTTTTCTCTTTACCATCCCCTACGGTGGGGTCCTTGTTTGCATGTTAGAACGGGTATCTGCTGTATTCACATTCCAAACCATAGCAAGGAGGAAAGAGAAAGTAAGGAGAGACCCACAGATTGTACATATAACTTCTCATATTCCCCTCACTCAGGCTAATCATATGGCACATTAAGCTGCTAAGGAACTGGGAAATGTGGTCTGCAGTTGTGTGGCCATGTGTCTAACAAGACTAGGAGGGTTTATTTTTCTTTTAATTTTTTTTTTTTTTACGATTTTATTTTTAAGTAATCTCCATACCCAACATGGGGTTCAATCTCACAACCCTGAGATAAAGAGTCAGTTCTACTGATTGAGCCAGCCAGGTGGCCCTGGGAGGTTTTATTATTAAAAAGAAATAAGAGAACATATATTGGGGTGGGGGAAGTGGGGACATAGCCAGTTTTTTTGCCACATAGGTGAAAACAGAGAAACTAGGGAGAGATAGAGAAATTTGCCTTTGATTTGAAATTTGAATTAATAAATTCCCACTTGTAAGTAAACTAAAGTTACAGTTTTTAAAGATTACTGAGAAGAATAGTCAAATATTTATTTTGGTATCTAGTTGAATAATTGGAGTCCATGGGGAAATGTATAGCATGTAATAAACTTTAAACTGAAAAAATACTTTTATGTTTTAGGTTTTACACATCCATAAGTAGACCTTTTTGGAGCTCTGCCAGCAAACTCAATGGCGTCCTCTACTACTGTGCCTCTAGGATTTCACTATGAAACAAAGTATGTTGTTCTCAGCTACTTGGGACTCCTCTCTCAGGAGAAGCTGCAAGAGCAACATCTTTCCTCACCCCAAGGTATTATCTTTGGCTTATGATGGTTCTGTTGAGTACTAATAATTACTTCATATTTAAAAGTACATATATTTAAATAATTTATATCTGTGGTTATAAGATCAAACAATACTAATAATTTTTTTAAAGAATAAACCCTTATCCCATCCCTTCCCACCCCCTGATCCATTCTCAGAAAAGACTTTTAATGCTTTTTAAGAGCATGATAATGTAAATGACTGCTGTTGGTACATGTAAAAATGTACTAAGTACCTGTAAATGAACAGAAATCTACCCTTCTTTAGAGATTTTATACTTAACAAGACATAGATTAGAATTACACAATTATGTTAAAACTTTTAATATAGTTGTTTCTTGAATTGACTTTTTTCAAGGATATTAGTTTTTTAAAAATTTTTATTTTTTCAATTTACATCCAAATTAGTTAGCATATAGTGCAACAATGATTTCAGCAGTAGATTCCTTAATGCCCCTTACCCATTTAGTCCATCCCCCCTCCCAAAACCCCTCCAGTAACCTTTTGTTTGCTTTCCATATTTAAGAGTCTTTTATGTTTTGCCCCCTCCCTGTTTTTATATATTTTTGCTTCCCTTCCCTTGTTTTCATCTGTTCTGTGTCTTAAAGTCCTCATATGAGTGAAGTCATATGATAGTTGTCTTTCTCTGACTAATTTCGCTTAGCATAATACCCTCTAGTTCCATTCACGTAGTTACAAATGGTAAGATTTCATTCTTTATGATTGCCGAGTAATATTCCGTTGTATATATATACCACATCTTCTTTATCCATTCATCCATCAGTGGACATTTGGGCTCTTTCTATACTTTGGCTATTGTTGATAATGCTGCCATAAACATTGGGGTGCATGTGCCCTTTCAAAACAGCATACCTGTATCCCTTGGATAAATACCTAATAGTGCAGTTGCTGGGTTGTAGGGTAGTTCTATTTGTAATTTTTTGAGGAACCTCCATATTGTTTTCCAGAGTGACTGCACCAGTTTGCATTCCCACCAGCAGGGCAAAAGAGATCCTTTTTCTCTGCATTCTTGCCAACATCTGTTGTTGCCTGAGTTGTTAATGTTAGCCATTCTAACACGTGTGAGGTGGTATCTCATTTTGGTTTTGATTTGTATTTCCCTGATGATGAGTGAAGTTGAGCATTTTTTCATGTGTCGGTTGGCCATCTGGTTGTCTTCTTTGCAGAAGTGTCTATTCATGTCTTTGCCTATTTCTTCACTGGATTATTTGTTTTTTGGGTGTTGAATTTGATTAAGTTCTTTATAGATTTTGGATACCAACCCTTTATTTGATGTGTCGTTTGCAAATATCTTCTCCCATTCCATCGGTTGCCTTTTAGTTTTGCTGATTGTTTCCTTTGCTGTGTAGAAGCTTTTTATTTTGATGAGGTCCCGATAGTTCATTTTTCCTTTTGTTTCCCTTGCCTCAGGAGACATATTGAGTAAGAAGTTGCTGTGGCCAAGGTCAAAGAGGTTTTTGCCTGCTTTCTCCTTGAGGATTTTGATGGCTTCCTGTCTTGCACTTAGGTCTTTCATCTATTTTGAGTTTATTTTTGTGTATGGTGTAAGAAAGTGGTCCAGGTTCATTTTTCTGCATGTCGCTGTCCAGTTTTCCCAGTACCACTTGCTGAAGAAACTGTCTTTATTCCACTGGATATTCTTTCCTGCTTTGTCAAAGATTAGTTGGCCAATATGTTTGTGGGTCCATTTCTGGGTTCTCTATTCTGTTCCATTGATCTGAGTGTCTGTTTTTGTGCCGTCAAGGATATTAGATTTAAACAATAGATTTATGTATCTGATAGGCTTAAGAGAGTTTTTAGCATAATTCTTTGTATTGTGAAGTTGTATGTATTCTTCTGTAAATAGTTTACCAAATGAAGCTTAAAACAGTTACTGGAGTCTAAATTAGCCTTCTTCATAAGATATAACATCATCATAAATGTTCTTTTTTTTTTAATTTTTTAACGTTTATTATATATTTTTAAGAGAGAGAGAGACAGAACACAAGCAGAGGAAGGCAGAGAGAGAGGGAGACACAGAATCTGAGGCAGGCTTCAGGCTCTGAGCTGTCAGCACAGAGCCTGACGCAGGGCTCGAACTCACAAACAATGAGATCATGACCTGAGCCGAAGTTGGATGCTTAACCGACTGAGCCACCCGGGCACCCCATAAATGTTACTTTTTTTTTTTTTTTTAATTTTTTAACGTTTATTTTTTATTATTGAGAGACAGAGAGACACAGACTATGAGCAGGGGAGGGGTAGAGAGAGGGGGAGAACAGAATCTGAAGTAGGCTCCAGGCTCTGAGCTGTCAGCACAGAGTCCGATGCGGGGCTCAAACTCACAAACTGCGAGATCATGACCCGAGCTGAAGTCAGTTGCCTAAGCAACTGAGCCACCCAGGTGCCCCTAAATGTTCTTTTTTAAAAAAATATTTATTTATTTTGAGTGAGAGTCTTCGCACGAGTAGGGGAGGGGCAGAGAGAGGGAGAAAGAGAATCCCAAACAGGCTCCACCTTGTCAGCACACAGTGGGATTCGAATTCACGAACTGTGACATCATTTCCTGAGCCAATATCGAGTCACCACTTAACTGACTGAACCACCCAGGTACCCCAGCAGGTTTCTATTTTAACAAAATTGCATCAAAATAACTTTAAAAACTCCTAAAAGAAAATGCAATACCAACTATTTAATTTATAATTTATAACCAAAGTCACACAGTAACTCTTTTACTTTCTTATTTTCTATTTAAAAAAAATTTTTTTACGTTTATTTACTTATTTGAGAGAGACAGAGACAGCACAAGCAGGGGCGGAGCAGAGAGAGATGGAGAGAGAAACCCAAGCAGGCTCCATGCTGTCAGCTTAGAGCCCGATACGGGGCTCGAACCCACAAAATGTGAGATTGTGACCTGAGCCAGAACCGAGAGTCGGATGCTCAACCCACTGAGCCACCCAGGCACCCCTAATTTTTTTTAATGTTAATTTTTGAGGGAAAGAGACAGAGCGTGGGTGGGGGAGGGGCAGAGAGAGGGAGAGACACAGAATCTGAAGCAGGCTCCATGCTCTAGCCCACTTCCGGTTCTGTGTCTCCCTCTCTCTCTGCCCCTCCCCCACTCAATGCTCTCTCTCTCTCTCTCTCTCTCTCTCTCTCTCTCTCAAAAATAAAAAGTAAACATTAAAAAAAGAAATTTTAACTTAAAATGTTAATGGATATACATTTATTTAGCAATTTTGGTGAAAGGTCATGTCTTTTTAAAAAAAATATGTGTTTGTTGATGTCCATGTCATCTTTCTAGCATAAATCATTTCTATTACCTATGTTTTCCAATTTGTTTAAAGCTGAGTTAGAACATAAAGACATTTATAAAACAGTATGAAGAGTCATTCTAGATTTTTATGATTTCCTCCCAATCTTTTACAGTTGTTTCTCTCACACCAATTTGATATAGTATTTAAAAAAAAAATTTTTTTTTAGTGTTTATTTTTGAGAGAGAGAGAGAGAGAGAGAGCCAGAGTGCAAGCTGGAGAGGGGCAGAGAGAGAGGGAGACACAGAATCCGAAGCAGGTTCCAGGCTCTGAGCTGTCAGCACAGAGCCAGATGTGGGGCTCGAAACCACGAGCTGTGAGATCATGACCTGAGCTGAAGTTGGACGCTTAACTGACTGAGCCACCCAGGCGCCCATACAGTTTTGTTTTTTTTTAATGTTTATTTATTTTTGAGAAAGAGAGCGAGAACTAGTGCATGCGAGTGGGAGGGGACAGAAAGAGAGGGGGACAGAGGATCTGAAGTGGGCTCTGCTCTGACAGCAGAGAGCCAGATTCAGGGCTTGACCTCAAAACTGTGAGATCATAACCTCAGCCAAAATCAGGAGTCGGTCATTTAAGTGATTGAGCCACCCAGGCACTCTGATACAGTATTTTTATTTTTTTTAATTTTTTTAATTTTAAATTAATTCAATTATTATTAAAATTTTTTTTTAATGTTTATTTTTTGAGAGAGAGTGAAACAGAGCATGAGTGGGGGAGGGCTAGATAGAGGGAGACACAGAATCTGAAGCAGGCTCCAGGCTCTGAGCTGTCAGCACAGAGCCTGATGCAGGGCTCAAACCCACAAGCCATGAGATCATGACTTGAGCTGAAGTCGGACGCTTAACTGACTGAGCCACCCAGGTGCCCCTAATACGGTATTTTTAAAGCAACTTTATAAAATATTTAATTTAGAGAAGTGTCAAGTCTCTTTGCACAATCATATTAGTAATGTCTGTGATTTTAAATAAATTGTACAATTTAAGTGACAAGTACAACTTTCATAAATAGATCAGGAGAAAATAGCTGATTCTTGGTAAGAATATAACTTACATGTGCTAGAAAGTAGTCTGCTAGCTGTATGTGTTCAGCTTGCAGCGGGCATATTCAGTATATTTTATAGTGAAATCGTAATGGGTTACTTAATTCACCAAATCACTTCAGTAGAGGTTAGTTAAGAATGCTTTTAGGGGCTCCTGGGTGGCCCATCGGTTAAGTGACTGGCTTCGACTCAGGTCATGATCTCATGGTCCATGGGTTCGAGCCCCGTGTCAGGCTCTGTGCTGACGGCTCAGAGCCTGGAGCCTGCTTCAGATTCTGTGTCTCCTTCTCTCTCTGCCCCTCCCCCGCTTGTGCTCTGTCTTACTCTGTCTCTCAAAAATAAATAAATGTAAAAAAAAAATTAAAAAGAATGCTTTTATATATTGCTTTTTTTCATTTATTTACTTTTGCTAAATCATCTAGAGTCAAACTATCGGATCAAGGAATAACAATATTTTTATAAGGAGTTTGTCATTTAAAATAAATATGTGGCTTCTAAATTGTCATACCATATAGTATAACTTTTTAAGTTTTTACACATTGTTTTAAAAACTAGTTATAACTTCTGAAAGTGCTGGATTCCATTGTTTTAAGACTTAGGTGTCTAGACTCAGTGAACATATACCATAATAGAC